AAAAAGAAAAGAAAAGAAAAAAGCAATCCCAATTGACTCACCAAATCTGCTGATGATGACGATTCAGACAATGGTGTGGCAGCAGCCCGAGGAGGGGGCTCAGAGAAAGCCATGACCCCACCCGGACAGGGGAGAAGCCAAAGAGCCAGCAGTCTGCACAGGGAATGTATGACAGCAGCTAATTCTGGCATGTTTGGAGCCTGAGCCTGGCCTGACTGTGGAGTCAGCTGTCTGCACAGAGGAGTGTGGAAAAGCAGCTAACTTCTGTGGTTTTTAGAGGCCCAAACCCACTGGGGTTTGCTGCAGAGAGGCTGCAACAAAACCTAGCAGCAGGGCCCAGGTGGGGTGGAGACTTCAGCCGCATGCAGCTCCAGCCGGAGCCGGTGGCTGCAAAGCCACAGGCAAGAGGCTTTTTCGTGAATTCGTGCTCCAAAAGTTGTTGGCACTAGATGTTGCATGAATCCTAAATAGTCTTATAGTAAAAACCCAGAGCCAGATATTGGGGTAAATGCTGAAAGAACAGAGGAAATAAGCCACAGCCACTTCTCACCTCGCCAACTCCTCAGCCGAAAAGAGAAGATCCTGTCTCCACAAATCCTCAGACTGAATGCCTCTGAGTCCTCAGCTGAAAGGGCCTAGTTCCTGTCTCCTTCAGTCTTACAGTCCTTTCTCTGCCCAGCCATATCACGTCCTGCCTCAACCTTCCTCGTGCTGGAATTAAAGGCTTGTGCCACCACCACCACTGTCCTCCTTGGCTAATTCTGTGGCTGGCTCTGTCCTCTGATCTTCAGGCAAGCTTTATTTCTTAGATTACAAATATATCACCACAGTAATTTAATAAGAGATAGAATCTCTGAAGAAAAGCCAAACTGAAGTAGAGCTTGAAATGAAAAATTCAGTAAGTCAAACCCTGAATCAGAGTGAGGCTCAATGGGGAGCCACAGCAATAGGTTGGGACAGAGTGGGAGAGAAACTGTCAGGTCCTAAAGACAGGGAGAGGAACTGGATCACTCAGACAATGGAAATGTTCACGCCAAGAGAACCATGAAGGAGACATGCAGGAATTCTAGGACACTATAGGAAGGCACGATTGTCCTTCCCCTGGAGTCTGGGGAGAACTCTTAGATACCACACAGTTTTTACATTACACCAAGTATACAATGCCTGTCAACTCCATTTTATCAACTCTTCATGATGAGAACACGTATGGATCTATAATTCTCATATGTAAAGAGACTGATAATTCAAATGCAAAGAATCCCAGCACTTTAGAGATGGTGTGAGTAGAACTGGCTATGGGTGGTGAGTCTACGGTGTCAATCTGTTTGGCAAAGTGAAGGACAAGATTTATTAGGTTTTAAGGTCCTGCTATAGTATACAAGCAATTTCCCACCTACAATTTTACCTAGACCTATTTCAATTCAGTTTAAAAGAAAAAAAGGAAGGAAGGAAAGAGAGAAAGAAGGAAGGAAGGAAGGTCTACCAGTTACCTTGATGGTGGTGATAGATCTGTGCATTGTAGTGATGAGCAAGCCAGTGTCTGGTCCCCGGAACAGGTCAACCTGTATCAGCTGAGAACCTTCTACAAACACAGATTCTTGGTTTTGCCATTGATCCACCAGATCAGAAAGGCTCGTTTGGGCGTACCAATCTGTTCACTAACAAGCCCTCTGAGTGATCCTTTCAAGGGTAAAACCACTAGTCTAAGAAAGAGGACCAGAGCAGAACAGAATAGAAACAGGTTCTAGGAGAACTCTCAGTCTGTTTCTGTTGGCATTAGAGAGTATTTTACTTTTATATGTATGTGCATAATTTTTTGCCTGCATGTGCACCACATGCATGCCTGGCATCCACAGTGGGCAGAAAAGAGAGGTGGAGTGTGTAAGAGGGTTTCAGAGTCCCTGAAGCTGGGGTTACAGGTGATAGTGAGCCAGATTGTGAGTGCTGGGACTTGAACCTGGATCCTCTCCAAGATCACTAAGTGCTCTTAACCACTGAGCAACCTCTCCAGCCCCTATTTAAGACCTTATTTTTTAAGATAGTGGACAGAAAACCCTGAAGCACAAAACAAAACCCTCTAAAATTGTTCCTCTTCTTGGTGCTTTGGGTCCTCAAGGGAGAATCTGAAAAAAAAAAATAAGAGAAGTATGTTTTGAGACATACAGAAACTTTTTAACAAGTCCCATGGCTGCACAGGCCCCAGTAGTAATGAGCCCAGCTCTGCCTCCTGAGCCCTGTCCAATAGGTTCCCCCTGGGATATTCCCAGTGCCTCTAGGGTCCCACACATGTAGCCCACATGAGGGATGGCCAAGGACTGGAAAGCTGAAGCCTCAGCAAAGGACCTCCAAGAAGATGTAGGCTGTGAAGTCCCATGCTGGACTGAAGTAAGGTGAGAGAGAGGAGTTTGCTTTCCTGCACGCAGGTCGGCTGTTAGAAGAGCCTTGCAAACACTCACCAGTAGGTAAGAATAAATGAGTAGCACAGGCTTGCCTAGAGTGAGCCTGAAGTGTGAGGGGAGAGAGCAGGCATGGCGGGTGTGATGTTAAAAGCAGGTGTTCCGGGTTACACATGGAACAGCTCAGCTTAGACTCGACCCTGCTGTTGGGAGGGAGTATACTAAGAGCAAGAGATAGAAAGATGGGCAAAACCATCACACAATCTCCACACAGTCTCCAAAGCAGGTCACTTGAAACAATTATGTGAAGCTGGAAGATGTCTGAGCAACTTCTAAATCAGAGTTGCTGTCATGGATGCTGTTACTGGATTCTCAATCTGGTTCACAAGGTAACAGGAAAAATGATCAGTGTTGTCCCGGGGATGCTTATAAAGTATGGTTGGGGGCCAGGTAGATGAAGAATTAGTTCTTGTGGGGGATGCAGGGCAAGGAGCCAGAGAGAAGGTGCGCCTGGGTTCCTAGGTTGGATTCCTAACAAAAGTTATTTAAGGAAACAGGAGTTCTTACCGAAGATACAGGTTTAGTTGAATAGATGGTATGTGTAGAAACTGTGAATTGCTTAGGTGGCTGTTGGTTCTTGGGTGACAGGGACACTAATTACAAAGGTGTGGTATATGGAGGTGACCTCTATAGCCTCACATGGAATGCTGATGGGGGAGTTGCTCTTGCATTAGCAGCCTTTTATTCTTTGCAATTTCTATGTGCAGAAATGTGTGCAGCTTCTAAGAGTTGGAGCTTGAAGCTGTGAGCACTAGATGGCCATTCAGTGTTATGACAAGGAAGGAGCCTAACCACATCTCCATTCAAAAGTTCTCCCAGGGTGCTGTGTGAATGGAGACAGGAGCGGAAGAACACAGGAACGTGAAGAATGAGGAGAGAGATAATGGAATCCAGCAGCTCATGGATTGCAATTGGTCAGAGGGGAGAGAATGGGGGAGCTTTAGACTGGACAGGAAGGTGAGAAGACCCTTTGCCTGCACCCTGTCCATCTTCTTGCTTTCTGACTTTCTGTTTCTAAGACAAATGTTTCCCTAACCTGACATTTCCTTTGCCCCCCTTTAACCTGCTTTATTTCCCATTTCTCTTCCTTGGAATTTTCTTTGGCCTCATTGATTCCAATTCTTTTTCATTCAACTCTTTCTCTCTCCTTAGATTTGTAGCATGTAATAAAATCAATCTCCTCCTGGAAGAGCTCTGAGCGTCCTCCTCCTCTTAGTCTCAAGGACTTCTCACCCCCAGCTCCCTTTTGCCTGCACCGGAGCCTTACCTGGTTAGGAGAGTGGGAAGAAACTGGATACTTCAGGTCTCCCGTTGTGTCTAGTGGTCCTGGGCATGCGACTGCACATCTTTCTAACTATTCACGTGCCTGGCCACCTCCAGCAGAGCCTCATTAAGTACTGCCTACACCCAGCCTGTGCACTGCTGGGAGCAGATTAATCGTGAAATTCAGACCTGTGTCTCCAGACCCTTGTGATTGAATTTTTGGGGAAAAACAATAGACTGTGAAAGAACTGTTGCCATTCTGTTGTGTTACATGCTGAAAACTTGCACAAAACGTAAAGCCTGGAATGAGGGAGGAGGAGAGCAGATTGGGATACCCAGAGCCGGCGAACCCTGCTCGTTAGTGCAGACACAAGAACTTCAAAGGTGGCATCCTCTCCAGTCCCCCAGAAAAGCCAGTAAAGAAAGCTCCCCCACCCCACTTAAAGACTGGGTGACATGTGGCTCAGGCTGGTCTCTTATACCCTATGTAGACAAGAATGACCAAGAATTCCTGATTCTCCCACCTCTGCCTCTTGAATGCTAGGACTGGAGGCTTGCACCACCACACCTAGCTAAGAAAACCTTTTTCTTCATACTCTATACACAGAGAAGCTGAGATCTTAGCCAAGTAAGTTCATTGTTCTTAGTCAGAGCTTAAGGGAGATAAAGACCTGAAATTTGCTCCAGGGTGTCTCATTCTGAACGTTGTCCTGTCACTCTGTCAGTCATGGGAAGGAAGGTCACAGGTTCTTCTGGGTGACTTTAAGAGATCTCACGAGGACTCAGGATTCTGAGGCAGAGGATCTTGAGTTTGAGGCCTGCCTGGGCTTACATAGTGACACCCTGTCCCAAACAGACAGATACAACAAAATCAGTATCTATGAATGTATATTGCAGCAGCCACCCAACTCCACAGAGCCAAGGTGGCAAGTGATGTCATGGTCTTCACGTGAAGATGCTCTTCCTAGGGACCTGAGCCACTGGGATGCTGAAAAGGGCAGGGAGATATTCAGGTATCCATGTCTTTCATCTGTTTCCTCTATATGCATGGAGAAGACACTATGGACCAGAACAACCTCACATGGGTGTCAGAATTCATCCTGGCAGGGTTCTCACAGAGTCGTGAGCTTCAGCTCTTCCTGTTTCTGGTGTTCTTGTTTGTCTACAGCACGACTGTTGTGGGAAACCTCCTCATCATAGTCACAGTGACCTCAGACTCCAGGCTCCACACACCTATGTACTTCCTGCTCCGCAATCTTGCTGTCATAGACCTCTGCTTCTCCTCAGTCACCTGCCCAAAGATGCTGGTGGACTTCCTCTCTGAGAGGAAAACCATCTCCTACCAAGGCTGCATGGCCCAGATCTTCTTCTTCCACTTTTTGGGAGGTGGGACTGTCTTCTTCCTCTCTGTGATGGCCTATGACCGCTACATAGCCATCTCCCGGCCCCTCCACTACGTCTCCATCATGAACACCAGGCTATGTGTGGGGCTGGTGGTGGCTGCCTGGGTAGGAGGCTTTGCCCATTCCATTGTCCAGCTGTTGCTGATGCTCCCACTGCCCTTCTGTGGCCCCAATGTCCTGGATAACTTCTACTGTGATGTCCCCCAAGTGCTGAGACTCGCCTGCACGGACACCTCCCTCCTGGAGTTCCTCATGATCTCCAACAGTGGGATGCTGGTCCTCATCTGGTTCCTCCTCCTTCTCATCTCTTACACTGTCATCCTGGTGATGCTGAGGTCACACTCAGGCCAGGCCAGGAGGAAGGCGGCTTCCACCTGCACCACCCACATCATTGTGGTGTCTATGATCTTCATTCCCTGCATCTATATCTATTCTCGGCCATTCAGTCCCTTTCCCTTGGACAAGGCTGTGTCCATCAGCTACACAGTCTTGACCCCCATGCTCAACCCTATGATCTACACCCTCAGGAACCAGGAGATGCAGACAGCCATGAAGAGATTAGCAAAGAACCTAACCATTAACCACCGGGAGTGAATGTTAAACGGGGTGACTTCAAATGGCGAATCTCCCTGAACTGACATGATCGCTGGTTAGATGCTAAGGAAAGCCCTCACAAAGCTCAAGTGGGATCACGTGAATAGTCCTCGATAGCTCATTCCTGCATTAGGAACCGTGTTAGGGACTCTCACACCTGTATCTATCCCATTTGTCCTCAGAAACATGACATGTTACCATTCTTTATAATAATTTTACAAACAAGAACAACCAGAACACAGTGACTTGCTCACAGTCAGAGAAAGTGGTAGCAGGATGTGGTTCCACTGAGTCTAGCTTCAGTGCCAGAAGGTATAAATCCCCACCTTGGAGTGAGCGCTCCTGGGGGGCCAAGGGTGCAGAACATTTCTCTGCAAACCTCCACGTGCCTTGAACTGTATCTGGCACGGCAGTGACCTCTCCATTTCCCTGAATCCTAATGCCCCCCCACCCTGCTTTCCTCCAGCATCTTTCCAACTAAGACACAGAAGTCACAGGCTGCTCCTGGTGTCTGCACCATGATGGCAGTCTCGAGTGGGTCCTGTCTCTATCTCTTCCTCCCTGTTTCTTCCTCACACATTTATCCATAGTCAAAATTTAGACTAGAGAGGAGGAGGGCCATGGACTGGTGTGATCTGTGACATCTCAACCAGATTCTCACTTCACATTAAAGTCTTCCAAATGTCTTGTGATGCTGTTCACATCCTCTGGATCACCTCTTCTCCAGGAGCCCTGCTCCTCCTGACCACAGTTTCTTGATCACCTCCTGGACAAATCTTCTTTCTGTCTTCACTCTAGTATGACAACCCCCTCTCAAGGTGTGGTGCTTACTGTGTGACACTTCTACACTGGGGTGTGTGGGGTCGTGAATTGTCCAGAAAACATTGGCTGTCTCCTCTGAACTCTGTATCAATGAGATGCCTTTGTCGGCCAGCAGCTGACTAAGCTAATGGCAGCATCTCAGGTAAGGAGGAAACTGCTGTTCCGACAGAAGACCCGAGGACAAGCACTTTCAAGTTGGTTAACTCAGCAGATCAAAAATGTTCCATTTGTCTTCTTGGTGATGCCTTACCTCCCCTCTCATGCTAAATGTGGCTGCCAGAGCTCCGGATGTCACATCTTCACAGTTGAGCCATTTAGCAAGATAAAATTAAAGGAAAAAGCATGAAAATGATTTTTTCTTTGTGCCTGTGTGTGTGCATGTGTATGTGTGTGCATGTGCATGCGTGCGTGCATGAGTGCATGTGTGTGTGTGTGTTGGGGAGACAATTCCCTAGAACTACCTCAGTAGAATTCTCATTGATCAGCACTGTGGTCACCTCGGTCTATATAAAAAGGAACGGGGAACGTCTAGCCTTCCTTCCAGGGCAAACAACAGTGTCTGCATGTGGTACCCAAGACAACAGGAAGAGACACAATTGTCTTGACTAAGAAGCCCCTACCATGAGAAGAAAACGCTACCATAAACATGGGTCACCAACTCAAATGCAGGGTGAAGCCAACACATAGCATGGGAGGCTGAGAGGACGGGGGAAACCTAAGGCCAGCTGCTCATACAGGCCGAGGAAGGGTCTTCATCCTAGTCTTCACTCTGCTACCGCAGAAGTCTGTGATGTGGGTGCTAACAGAGTGTTTTATTTAGAGAGACAAAAAAAAATAAAAATAAAAATCCAGGCGTACAGTCGCAAAGCATCGCTAAGGGGGCTCCTCACAAAACAACTGACAATCTCCAATCCCTGATCACAGCCCGCATCTCGTGAGCTTGTGAGTGATTTGAGTTCAAATAGTGATATTTAAGCACAGATCATCAGGCGGATGAAGAAGTCTTCCACCATAAAAGACAGACGGTAAAGCACAACAAAACAAATAAAAACGAGAAACAGGAGAAAGAAGAAACTTCAGGAAACCAGTGGCAGTTCAAGGAAGAGAATACAACTTAAACTCTTCCAGCCTCACCCCCTCCTGAGTGTGGTGTGGTGTGGTGTGTGCGTGTGCGTGTGTGTGTGTGTGTGTGTGTGTGTGTGTGTGTGTGTGTGTGTTTTAAGACTGGGTCTTTCTATGTAGTTCTTGCTATCCTTGAACTTGCTATGTAGACTAGGCTGGCCTTGAACTCACAGAGATCCTCCTATTTCTGTCTTCCAAGTGCTGGGATTAAAGGCATGCGCCATCATGCTCACCTTAAAAAATTTTTTAATTGAACTGTTTACTTCAAAAATCGGACTTGAAGCTGTAAAAAAATATTAAAGATCTTTCCACTATAAATTTTCCCAATTTCTCCTCATAGGAACTATTACTGATTACATTTTTGTTTTCTCTCCAAATTCATGGGTTGAAGTCTAATCAAAACCTGGTGGCTTGGGAGACAAGGGATGCCATGTGACAAGATGTGTACAAATCTCTGTTCAGTTCAGACAGAGCACCAAGATAGACCAAAGGAACAATTGCATCAGAGTCTAACCTGGTGAACAACGGCTTCATTAGGATTTCTCACAGGGACATGGGTGACCACAGAACTGATCGACTCACCCAGGGATGGGGGACAACTCGTGAAAACAGCTTCCGGCAGAGTCTTCTCTTCCCCAGAAACAGTGTCCTGCGTGTGTATAACCCTGGGAGGAGCCTTGTGAATTCCATCAGTTTTCCCAGTCTTCTGCCGGAACGGATTCGATCGGAAGTAGCTACCTGACAGGACACCTCCTCTTCCAGCTCTTACATTCTTTCTTCCCCCTCTTGCTGTTCTCTGAGCCTTGGAGGGATCTGCATAGCTGTCTGGTTATTTTCTTCCACTTGTGGCTGTTGCTTACAAGTCACTCGGTCCATGCGACCCCATTGTAGCAGATTGAATACACTAAGATGAGGATCTACTAAACCATGGTGTAATACAGCAGAATATTAATGCCACTCTGACAGAGGCATAGGATGGGGAACTTTAAAACTGTAATACAAACTTGTGAAACAAGATTGGAATGATGTTTTAGGAAGGTAGCAGCAGAAGAAAGCAGGAAGAAGAGCAAGAAAAGTGTCTTACAGGTCAGCATGAGGGCTGTGGCATGTGGTATTTTTCTTTTTTCTTTTTTTAGTTTTTCAAGACAGGGTTTCTCTGCGTAGCTTTGCGTCTTTCCTGGAGCTCACTTGTTAGCCCAGGCTGGCCTCGAACTCACAGAGATCCGCCTGGCTCTGCCTCCCAAGTGCTGGGATTAAAGGCGTGCGCCACCACTGCCCAGCCGTGGTATTTTTCTTAGCTGACCCAGTCAGCTTCTTTGATTCAATGAGCCTCCTCAAATATTGACTCACCTTCTTCTCACTAAAAGGTAGAATTCATCTTTCTGTGCCCTGAGTTTGGAGGGAACTCTGTCATAGATATCACATAGTTTAAAATTTTCAAAGTGTGTGTGTGTGTGTGTGTGTTTGCACGCGCGCGTGCATGTACCTGTGCAAGTGTGCGTGAGTAAGGTGCCCACAGGAAGAAGAGGTAGCAAATTCTCTGGAGCTGGAGTTACAGGTGGTTGTGAGCCATCTGATATGGGCGTTAGGAACTGAACTCAGGTCCTCTTTAAGAGCAGTACACTGTCTTAACCACTGAGCCGTCTCTCCAGCCTCCATCGAAGACCTTGTCTTTTTGGATCTCAGACTGCAAACCCTACATCAAGAGAATCTCTAAAATTTTCAATATTCTTGGTATGTAGAGCTGCCAAGGATGACCTCTTAAAGAACACGTGTTTTGAGACATACAGAAACTTTTTAACAAGTCCCGGGGCTGCACAGGCCCCAGTGGTAATGAGCCCAGCTCTGCCTCCTGAGCCCTGTCCAATAGGTTCCCCCTGGGATATTCCCTGTGCCTCTAGGGTCCCACACATGTAGCACACTTGAGGGATGGCCAAGGACTGGAAAGCTGAAGCCTCAGCAAAGGACCTCCAAGAAGATGTAGGCTGTGAAGTCTTGCTGGACTGAAGTGAGGTGAGAGAGAGGAGTTTGCTTTCCTGCACGCAGGTCAGCTGTTAGAAGAGCCTTGCAAACACTCACCAGTGGGTAAGAACAAATGAGTAGCACAGGCTTGCCTAGAGTGAGCCTGAAGTGTGAGGGGAGAGAGCAGGCATGGCGGGTGTGATGTTAAAAACAGGTGTTCCGGGTTACACATGGAACAGCTCAGCTTAGACTCGACCCTGCTGTTGGGAGGGAGGATGCTGAGAGCAAAAGATAGAAAGATGGGCAAAACCATCACACAATCTCCACATAGTCTCCAGAGCAGGTCACTTGAAACAATTATGTGAAGCTGGAAGATGTCTGAGCAACTTCTAAATCAGAGTTGCTGTCATGGATGCTGTTACTGGATTCTCAATCTGGTTCACAAGGTAACAGGAAAAATGATCAGTGTTGTCCCGGGGATGCTTATAAAATATGGTTGGGGGCCGGGTAGATGAAGAATTAGTTCTTGTGGGGGATTCAGGGCAAGGAGCCAGAGAGAAGGTGCACCTGGGTTCCTAGGTTGGATTCCTAACAAAAGTTATTTAAGGAAACAGGAGTTCTTACCGAAGACACAGGTTTAGTTGAATAGATGGTATGTGTAGAAACTGTGAATTGCTTAGGTGGCTGTTGGTTCTTGGGTGACAGGGACACTAATTACAAAGGTGTGGTATATGGAGGTGACCTCTATAGCCTCACATGGAATGCTGAGGGGGAGTTGCTCTCGCACGAGCAGACTTTTATTCTTTGCAGTTTCTATGTGCAGAAATGTGTGCAGCTTCTAAGAGTTGGAGCTTGAAGCTGTGAGCACTAGATGGCCATTCAGTGTTATGACAAGGAAGGAGCCTGACCACATTCCCATTCAGAAAGTTCTCCCAGGCTGCTGTGTGAATGGAGACAGGAATGGAAGAACACAGGAACGTGAAGAATGAGGAGAGAGATAGTGGAATCCAGCAGCTCATGGATCCCAACGAGCCAGAGGAGAAAGAATGGGGGAGCTTGAGATAGGGCAGGAAGGTGGGAGACCCCTTGCCCTC